TTTCTTTCTTTCTTTTTTTTCTTTTCCTTTTTGTTTTGTTTTTATTTTTTCAAGACAGAGTTTCTCTGTGTAGTATTGGACCATGTCCTAGAACTCACTCTTGTAGACCAGGCTGGTCTCTAACTCACAGAGATCCACCTGCCTCTGCCTCCCAAGTGCTGAGATTAAAGACATGCACCACCACTGCCTGGCTCCAAAATTTTTTTAAACCTGAGATCTCCAGTAATGCTCTGAAAACTTGCTTCCATCCTTTTATTAATCTCTTTCTAATCACCTCCTCTTTGATTTAGTAATGATTACAATATCATCCTTTTTTAATCTTGTTGTTAAAATGTATTATCTAATTTTATTTTTCATATATATATATATATATAAAACTAAAATCTTCTTAATAACTCCATTTCTTCTAGCTTAATCATCCATTTCCCTTTATTTTTCACTAACTCCCTGTTTCTTGTTTGAGTTCAGTATCTAAACACATATATGATTGGTAGAGGCAGAAGAAGTATCTAGACACAATCCTGTTAAATATCTTTTCTACCTTTGGGATTATAATTACACTGCTTCTCTCTTCCTTAAACTCCCATGTAATACACACTCCATTCTTTTTTATGTATTTATGATAAAATCTCCATTTCTCTGTGGTTGGACACAGCGAATTTCAGTTGAGTGGGTCCCTGAAATCCTGTTTTTGGGGGTTTACACAGTCAAAAAGGCTAGCAATAACTATGAACAAACACAGGGCACCTACTCCACATGAAGCAGAGAGCTTGGACCCTCCCAACAGCCCTGCTGTGACTCTGTGGAAATATGCAATTCAGATCAAGATCAGGGAGAATAAAGTTTGGGAAATGGATCTAGTGCTGTGTAATAATCTCTAGCACAATTTTAGTGCAAGGGCCTTCTAAGTGTTTGTTCTAAAATATAAGGGGAGTTTGTAACCTAACATCACTTCCCATTGAGGTTGGGAATAAAGGCAGCAAAAACCAATCCATTCAATTGTGTGGTGCATCCCCTTTCTGCAGCAAGCCTGTCTCAGCCATATCCACGAGAATCAACCAAAAATGCAGCCCATTTTTGCAAACCTTAATCTCCAATGCTTTTCTATTTTTTCTTTATATTCTCCAAAGCTTTTCAAAAGTTATAAATGAAAGGTTTAAAAAATTGTTAACATAAGCTGTTTGGACTTGAAAAACTCAAAAAACTGCAAGATTCAAGCTAACTAAAGCATTAAAACTGTGTCCCAGCACATTAGACATCCTGTTTCAGTCCCTTAACTCAGTCAGTGTGCCTAATCAAGATTTAACATCAAAGGCATACTTAAATATGTAAGGGATTTTCTATATAACATGATACACACACACACACACACACACACACACACACACACACACACACACACACATATCCTTCCAAGTTTTCAAGCAAATGAATAACAGATATAGCAATAAAATCAAAATATAAGTACTTTGCTGATAAAGCTATATCATGCTTAATAAGGACTTTCTAATACCCTGTCTCCCCATCATCACCCAATTCTTAGACTTGGGGTGACCCACCCAAAGGAAGACATACAAAGGAATACTTACCTGGATGTCAGCATGGGCCATGATGTGCTCAAAGTAGTTAAGACAGGGATGCTCTTCAGGCCTGTCTCTGGAAGACAGACCTGGGTCTCACTCAGCAAATGTAATGACCTCAGGAACTCGGAATCTGAGCTGTGTGTATATGCACCAAAGCCGGGAGTCACAGAAGAGATGAGGGGATGAAGGATGTGTGCACAATGACTGGATTCCCTATGTCCCAAGTGGAGAATGTAATCTTTTTCTTATGGGAGAAGTGAGAGGTTGACAGGGCAAAGAGAAAGATTTCAAAACAATTCCTTGCTTGAAAAAGCACAGAGAAACCGGAACAAATGACAGACCGACAGTCGCCTCCGTGTGTGGGGTGGGGTCAGCCTGTCCCCTTCACCTCCTCTGAGCAAGATAGGAAATACACTCATCTCACACCCAAGTCTGACTTGGAATTACTTCCCAGCTTCCAACCCAAAATTAAAAATTTTTTTATTAATAGATTCTGTTACTAGTTCATTCTATATCAGATCTGAGGAGAAGAGGGTGGGGTTAGGAACACAGAGGCTCAGCCCAAATCCAACCAACACCAGATACATTTTCTCCCTGAGCCTGCTCTGATTAACAACAACAACAAAAAGAAAGAAACAGAAATGCCTCATTAACACTATTCCTCAAAATCTGCTTGAATGCAAATACATAGTACTCAGGTCCAGAAAGACCAAAAAAAAAAAAAAAAACCCAAACCAACCCCCCCCCCCAAAAAACACAAAACAAACAAAAAACCTCTGGCCTCTTTCATCTGTCCACTGTGTAGTCCTGAGTGTGATAGCAGTCAGAGGGCATTCCCAAACAGAAGTCCCCAGATGAAGTCCTACTGTGGGCATTATTGAAAATTAAAAGTTATATGCTAGTTGGAAATCCAAGTATTTTTTAAATTCCAGAATAGTTCCTAGGAGCTCTTGTTAGCTTCTGTAGTTTACTCACCCAATAGTGGATGTTCTACTGAAAGGAATAAAGAGAAAACCCTAGCTTCTGGGCCCTTCAGGACCCAACTATCTAGCTTCACAGACAAGCAAAAGGAGGCCTTGTCCTATTTTTTTTTTTTTTTTAATTACCTTTAAAGTTGGGGGTTTCCTCTTCCTATGTGTAATGCTAGGGCAATCCCACCTGCTCTTCCTGCCCTCATTATAAAACACGGAGAACCTCTTGAGTATTATAGGCCACCTTCTTTGGTCCAATCCAAGGATCCCTCCCTCACATGGTTTATGAGAATCTAGTAGCATTCCAATGCTATGTTTGTGATCATTTATTCTCTCCAAGATACCTGAATGCCCAGGACCAGAAAAACAAGAGAGATGATACTAAGAGTCAGTCTATCAATTCCAAAGAAAAAGTTTCTCCCAAGATGCCAAAGATTTAAAACCTTAAAACCACAGGGTATGGACATGAGAATGGACTTAACCTGTTAAGAAAGGGTTTTGGAGCCCAATGGTGGTGGCACACGCCTTTCATCCCAGTGCTTGGGAGGCAGTGACGGGAATCTCTGTGAGTTCCAGGCCTGTCTGAACTACAGAGCTAGTTCCAGGACAGCCAGGGCTTTACAATGAAACCATGCCTCAAACAAACAAAAAACAAACAAAAAAAAAAAAAAAAAAAAAAAAAAAAAAAGGGAGAGAGAGAAAGGAAAAAAGGTGTTTGGGTATTAAATATAATGGCTAAAGGGCTCAGGTAACCACTCAGCATTAAAAGACTTATAAAAGCAGTAGAAAACAGGATGAGTGGAGATGTGGTACCTTTTGTCTAATGTCCCAGGGACTGAGAAAAGGAGGACACAAACACAAAGTACAGCCATGTAGAAGTCAAACACTTTACTTTTATTCACAGCTCTTGCCAGAAACTTAGCATATAGCTTTGAAGATAATTTAAGCTTCAGCACTTTAATCTATAAAACAGGGGAAAGCAATTGTTTAATTGGGTGCCTCTTACCATCCCACGAGATTACAACATCCTTTACAAGTTAATTGATGGGGTGGCATAAGATATCCAGGAGGGAACCATAGGGGAACCTCATCAAGTTAGGAAAAGCATTTCAGCCTCATATTTAATGAAAGGAGCACAGGCACACACACACACACACACCAATGCCGTCAATCCACAGTAGCTGGGACACAAAACAGAAAAACCCTTCTGATGTCCAAGTCCTTCAAGGGGCAGAAGGGCCCTGAGGTTGTAACTTAAGACTGTTCTTAGAGAAAGATGCTCCTGTTTAATAGTAGCTATCATCTAGCTGCTCCTTCCTCAAATCCAAGACAGCAGCTCTCTAAAATAAACCAATCTCTCACACCTTTCCCGCCCCCTCACCCACCAGTCCACCTATGACAGAAACAACACTGTGCAGACCTCCATGGAAATTCAACCTTACTTAGCCACTAAGAGAAGGGTAGTCTCTACTATGCCTGAGATTACTGAGGGCGTGGCATCAGGAACTTCCATCTCTCTGTCTCTCTGAACAGCTATCGATGGTTGTAAAAAGTCTTGTTTTGCACCTGTCCCACCCAAAAGTTACTTGAGCTTGCCTTCTGGGTGAAGGAGAAATTATTTCAGACCAGCTGTTTCTCTCTGGTGCTATTGTGGTTGTTTTCTAATTACTTAACCGATCTCCTCATAATCGTGGGCCAGAAAGCTACCACCCCTAAGAAGGGACTGTTAAAAGGGACGAGGGCTACAATGCAAGCGCAGGGTTCCACATTATGTTATAGGAACTGCAAGCAAACTCATACCACTCCCCAGGCACCAAAAAGCACATCCCAGCCACATATCCACAAAGCTGGGGCATGAGGGAGAGTGGGAGACATTAGTCTCCCATCGACCTGGGATTTTTGTTAACAGATAATAAAAATAAATTAGTAAACATTGCTGTTTACAGAAATAGAAATACTTTTCTGTTTCCAAAGGCCTCTCATCATCCAAGTCTGGACATTGCCAAGACTACCACCCTGGACACCCTCTCAAAGGTCCGCCCTGGTCAGTGGGTGAGACACCAGAGTCCTTGGGACTGGGAGGTCTTCAAGCTTCTGAGAATTCAGTTTTACATCTCTGGTGACATGGAGGGAAGAATCTTCAGTAGGCTGAAGAGCACTGGAAAGTTCATCCCTTCTGGCTGGTTTGTTGCAAGCTGTTTTGAAGCAACTGTTCCTTTCAGATGGTAATTGCTTTGCAAGACTTCCTGCTGTTTTCTGGCTCCCAGTCCCTCTCCAGAGTCTGACAAGCTTGTCTGGAATCCACCCTCAAAGCGGAGCAACCAGTCTGTGCCTTGGTTTAAAGACCTGGAAAGTAGGAATGGACAGAGAAGGCAAGGACAATGGCCTGGGGGTGGGGGTGGAGGCACGCAGGGGGAGGGGGTGGGGGTGGCGGGGGCGTTGCTCGAAAGAGACAGCAAGCAGCAAGGGCAGTCCTACAGGCAAGCAGTGAAGCTGGTCTCCTGGCCAGAGCAGGAGCTGGAGTCGGAGCCAGAGCTTTCCATCATAGCTGGAGGTGGTGGCTCAGGGCGGGGAGTGCGACGACGCCCCCGGTACTCAATCATGTCGGGATGGTAAGTTGGGTGGCGACGGGCATGCTTGGTCAAGTGGTCGCTGCGAGAGAACTGCTTGGGGCACAGCGGGCAGGAGAAGCGCTTTTCACCGGTGTGGGTTCTGTAGTGGCGGGCCAGCTCATCAGAACGTGTAAACTTCTTGTCGCAGTCGAGCCAATCGCAGGAGAACGGGCGCTCCCCCGTGTGGGTGCGCTGGTGTGACTTGAGGTGCGAAGACTTGTAATAGGCTTTGTTGCATCCTGGAAAAGTGCACTGGTGTCGCTTGGATGCGGGTGTAATCGGCCTCCTTCGGAACGTCGAACCCACTGCTGGCGCGGGTTGGGCCCCTGGGGGCCCCTCGGGCACTTCTCCGCTGTTTTCGGGGTTCTCTGGGACCTCAGGTGCACTCAGGATGGCAGGCTCGCCGCTGGAGCCCTCAGCGCAGGAGAGCTCATCCTCGAAGAAGGCCTGGACCGGCTCGGGGCACCCAGTAGGGCTGGAGCACCAGGTGGGCTCGCTGCAGCTAGTTGAGGCACACGGAGCTTCTCCGGGGTCCTCCCGGGTGCCTTCCCGGACACCACAGCTCAGATCCGCCAAAGCGCTCGCAGCCAGCATGTGGGGCGTTTCAGCCAGCAGGTGGGGCGCTCCCTCGCCCTCCCCGGGGCTGGGGGCGGGAATCTGGAGGACCGGGGGTACCCACAGCACCCCCCGTGTCCCGGGACCCGTCCCCGCCGACTCCCGGGGCACCGCACCCACCTCGGAGACAGCTGCTGCATCGGCGCCTTCAGGATCGGTTGCACGCTGGTGCAGCACGGCGTGGGTGGACATAGACACCAGGCACTCGGCAGCGAAGAAGTCCAGGCAAGCCACGGCGGCTGACATGCTGGCGGCGCCCGGTTGCGGGCGAGCGCCGTCCGAGCGCGGCCAGCCGCGGGCAGGAGAGTCCCCGGGAGCGTCCGTCCCGCCTCTTCGAGCCGGTCGAGCTAGGGACCGGGGCGCGACGCTCGCTGTCCCGGGCCGCTGCTGCCGGTATCGAACCTGCCCCGCTTAAGGTGCCCTGAGGCACAGGAGCCTGCGGGGGGTGGCGGGGGAACCCGCCCCGGCCCGAGGATACCCCTGGATCGCGCTGCCGCGCGGGCTAAGGCATTCCCAGCAGCCTGAGAAATTATCTTGTCTGCGCTTTCTCTCCGCTGCTGGCGAGCCAGGTAATTTCAATGCGCGCAAGTGCCGGATCGCAACTTCTGGGCAGCCTGCCGGCCTCGCCCCCCGCGCCCCTGGTCCCCGGCCAGCTGGGTGTCCGGCAGAGTCCGAGAAACTTTTTTTTCCTTTAAGGGGGGGGCGAGAAAAAGCCGCGTTAATACCTGACTTGTCTTTCGCTTCGCTAACGCGATCGCTGGCGAAGTGAGCTGGGATTGCGTTTGACTCGCGTCCACCGCTCGCCGCCCGAATTGAAAATAGCCCCGTGGCTGCATCCAAAAGAAACCGGGGCGAAACAAAGTTTTCGCATTTAGCAGTTCGACTGTTAAAGCAGGGTCGGCAGCCGTTTCCTAAATCGATCGACCACGTAGCCGCTATTAATTAATAGCAGTTTGAATCAGAAACGTTTTTAACCCTGGCGAGAGCGCAGAAGCCTCCCGGCTTGAAATAGAAACTTAAAATCCTTGGAGTAACGATTTAACTATTTAAGCAACGAAAGAAAAATGCGTGTTTAAACGGCATTAACCTGTCACAGGCACACAAACAAATTTCCGCGCTGAAATATAAATTACAGACTAGCAGCGAGGTAAACACATTAAAATGGACTCCCACAATTTTAATAATAGAAAGTCGCGTTTCCAATTAGGCAGCGTCTTCTATTTCTTTTTTGACAAAAAATTAAAAATAAGAAAAAGCAGCAAAACGGTATAGAATGCTCATGCAGTGGTTTATGATTCGGGGGGGGGGCTTTTTCTTTTTTATAATCGAGTGTGTGAATGATTTCTTTTACAGGGCTTCACTGCTTTGTCTGCTGTTCCCCTTTTTTATTTTTTAAAATTAAAATACCCACAGAAAATAAACAGGGTAATTTCTAAATAAATCCCACCGCAGTTTGGGATGCACACAGGCTTTACTTTTATAACATTCAGTTGTGTGCATTTTGTTTGCGGTGCTTCAGTAATTTTTTTTCCCTCTGGAAAATTAAAATGACACACGTGCATCAAGAATAACGTATGCCCATATACTTAATGGCTAGAATAATCAAATATGATATTTTTGTCGTGTTTGTTTCACATTTTTCATTTATATTTAGTCAGAGAGGGCTGACTGTCACTTTCCTCCTCCCGGGGACCATTCATTCCCTCCTTCGCTATCGTGAGGTGTATCTCTTTCTAAAGCATGCTGTACTTTATTGCCCAGTCACCTATGTGTGTAAACATGCACGTGCAGCTTTGTTAGCGTATTTACAGTTTTTAATAAATGTTGTAGAGCTGCACATGTCACGGTGCAGCTTGCTTTTCTCAACATGATTTTTGTGCTGATACCTGTAGAGCTGCTGCTTCATTTCTTCAGCGTTAAAATAATATTAGCATCTGTATTGTTTGTTATTAAAGAGACCCAGTTCTAAAACTGATTTTTTTTTTTTTTGGCCAAAGGTATTTACCTCAAATTTTCAGATGCTGCAACAATCTGCACATGAACATTCTATCAGAATAATTTGCTACCTGTTTTTCTTTTTAATTTATGATTTAGAAAAACATGTAAAGATGTTTTTAAATGCTGATAGGAGAAAATACAAGTGTACCTGTCTTCTGTAATTGATAAATGTTATCATTTTTGTCATATCTGTTTCAGATCTTTACTAATTTGAGCTATTTGACATTTCTGGTAAAATTAAAGTTCCCTTTGCTTGCCTCCCTGTCAGCTCTCTCCACCCTTTCCCCAAGACAAACACTGTCATGAATTTGGTGGGCAACTTTGCAATTTAGGCTGTACACTTTCAACAGCATATAAATCTATATGAAATATTGCTTTTTAAAAATGTATGCACATGGTTTTAGGATATATATGTGTGTATATATATATATATATACATACATATACATACACATACATATATATCTTCTGCAGCTGTTTCTTCCTTCTTGCTGTTATTTTTTTTTTCTTATTCATGTTGGTAAATATAAATACAGTTCATTCATTTTAATTGTCCCAGTGTAGACCCATGTATATGAATGTGTCCTATTTATGCATGGTCCTATTGATGAATTTTGGAGTTGCTGCCAATATTTTGATATTACTGGAGCATGTTTCTCTTGCACATATGGAAGACTTTCTCCATGTGTATACCTAGATGGGGCTTGCTAAACAGCACTCATGGATGGATGGAGCTTTACTAGGCACTGCCAAATGACTCTCTAATTTTTTCACCCCATCAGTAGTGGGTGAGAGGTTCTGTCTCCCTCACTTAATATGAAACACTTTCTAGATTCAGACTTATTTCTGCCAATTTGATTTAAAAAAAAAAAACCCAGTATCTTGTTATTTTTATTTGAATTTCCCTCACTGCTAGTGAGGCTGGGCATTTTTCCATGTATTTATTGGCTGTTGAAGTTTCTGAGTCTGTGATTTGTTTTTTCACAGCCTTTGTCATTTTTCCAATATGCTATGCATGCTTTTTTACCTATCATCCCTTGGATTTATAGTGTTTCATGTGTATACATTGTCCCAATCTATTGCTTGTCTTTTAACTTTTGATGTCTTCTATGTTACAGAAAATGTAAAATGTAGGCATGGGCACACTAGTCCCTTAAAAATAACAACAACAGTGAGAACACCTCCACACCTGATGCATGAAGATAGCATCTTCTGTGTTTCTCTCTGATGCTTTCCCACAGTGGAAAGCTTGGGGGAAAGCAGGAATTATTTCAGTACCCTCTCCCCCACCATGGAAAGCCTGCTGTGACCTGATTTACTAAGCAGTCACCATGTCCCTATTAATGTGTAACACCACCATGATTATAAATTAAATTTCCATATATTCATGGAAGTGTTCCTAATTTGTCCTTACCCATGGATCAAACCAATTCTGAACCAATAGCACATTCTGAATTACCATGGCTTGATAACAAGTCTTAATTGTGATGGCTTGATAATTACTCTTGAAATACAGAAGGATGTGTCCTTTCTTTGTTCACTTTTTACAACCGCACTGACCATTTTTAGACTTCCCTTCTATGCTAACTTTAGCATCAGCCTGTCAAATTCTAAAGAAAAGCTTTTTTTTTTTTTTTTTTTGGCTGGGTTAAATTTACAATTTAATTTGAGGAGCTATGACATTTTTATGAAGCCCAGTGACCCAGTTCATGAATATTATTCTGATTTTACAGTTTGTTTGCAAAATGCTTGTGGCTCCTTGTTAGCTCCCGATGCTCCCACCCCAAGCAGGGAACGAAGCTTACAGCTTCTGTTATCATGACACTGGAATAATTTTTCCATTAAAAATTAAATTTATTGATTGCCATTTTTTGAAAGGGCTAATGATCTTATTTAAAAGGCAAACATTCTCATTGGTTTATTATTAGATGACTTTTGTGTTTTTCGTAAATTATCATGTTATCTGTAAATAACACCCTTTCTCTGATTAATCTCATTGCATGTACTGGGACTCCAGTGCAATCAGAGTGTTAATAAGCACCCCCTTTCTGTCTCATTGAGAATATCTAGTGTCCATCCTTGCTGTGCATTTTTTTTTATATAGAAACCTTTTATCAGGTTAGGGTAGTTCTTTTTTTTTTTTTTTTTTTTTTTTTTTTTTTCTATCCCAGCATGTTTAAAGTAGGACTATTTAAAAAACTTGAAATGGATACTGAAATGTTATTATATACTTTTCCTCAGACTGTTGAGGCAGTTATAGATTTTGTTGTTGGTATGCTAAAGCAACAGGTCACATTGATAGATTTTTTTTCTAATATGAGCCTGTTGAATCTCTAAAATAAAACAATAGTGCTTTCCATAGTCTACTGTTGTATTTTTAATACACTACTTCAAGCAGTCTATAATATTTTATTTTAGCGTTTTATTCATAAGTGAAGGCTTAGGATTTCTCTTTCTTATACTGTGCTTGGCTGTTGTCTGGTGTCAGGGTTCCAAAATGCATTTGGAAATTTTTCTTTCTTTTCCTGTTTTCTCTGACAGTTTCTAATAGATATTATTTCCTTGAATGTTTAATGAATCTCATCTGTAAGGCTACCATGTTTTGAAAATTTAATGCAATTTCTCTAATCCATTTTGGTAATTCATATTTCTCTTAAAAATAGATATATTCAAATCTACAAAATTTTGAAATTTGGCTCATATTCTCTCATTTTAACATGTATTACCATATCTGTTGTCATACTCCATTTTATTACATGTATATGTATATATATTGAATTATTTTTCTCCTAAATAAACAAAGGTTTATCTATATTTTTTATGAGCCTGTTGGCATTTGTCTGTGATCCTTTCAAATGGGCAGCTTTAGCTGACAGTATCTGTTTCTTTTAATATAGAGATACATGTTTACTTTCTGTGTTTGGGTATTTTTAATCCCTGACACTTGTGCTGAGTGTCATACTTCACTGTGATTTCTCAAACATTCAGAGGGACATTCTTCCTGGATTTCCCTGCTGTTAAGTCACTGGAGCTAGTTTGTAGCCAGTGTTGGAAGTACAATTGAGGATTATTTGAAATGAAAAGTAGAATAGGGGTAATTTCTCAATGTGGCCTTGGAAGAAATGTTACTAAAATAATCTTGCAAACCCATTCAGAGGCTCCCAGGAATGTCACAGTAACACAGATGTCCTGGAAAGCCATCTCAACATCCCTTTTGACCTAATGATTCAGTGCTGGAAAGGAGTAGGAATTCAACAAATACACACAGAATAGATGAATGACCACCAATCTGAGAAAGACAGCTTTCCTGGAAACACTGCGACTCCATCTGCGTAGGGTTCAGACTCCCTCCCTCCTTTCCTGACTCCCTCCCTCCTTTCCTGTTCTAGCCCATTACCTTTCCTT